TTCACTAGTATTATAATTAATGTTACACAGCTCGCACAGTTTTCGTTTTACACTCGGATGAGTTGAAATTGCTTTTAAAACTTTTGGACAAGCAAAGGGAGTGTTGTGACAGTTAAAGTCCAGTTCCGGCCAGTCTTTCATTTCAACCACAAGCGGTCTATACTTTCCAGTTGCATCTTCAACCTTTTATTTACCCCGCAATTCCCATACAGTTGCATTCCTGCGGTTGTCAATTTTTTTGTCACTGTTATTACTAGTGAAATTCTACCTTTTTATTACCACTGTTCTTCCGATTGCCGATGTGTTTGTTACAATTCACGGAAAATTTTATCAAATCGTTTAGGGTAAGCACTGGTTGCGTGGATTTCCAACTATTTTTTGTTGGTGTGGTTTTGATTGCCAATTGCACCATTTTCTTTCCACGGCTGTATTGCACATTTTTAAGCATTACTTCTTTGCTGCAGGCAGAATATTTTTTTGCTGTTATGATGGGTAACTCTGTTTGACAGGAATGTCTCAACGTGTGCTTGGTGATAGTTTAGCAAATTTACGAGCCGGTCGTATTCCGAACAGTTTTTCAGAACATCAACAAAAACTACTTTTCGTTCAAACCAACATTCATTGTCATCAGATACTGAAATATGAATACAGCAATATGCCTTAAAACTGTAGGTGCGCATGCATGCATTTTTGTTTCCAAAGCACGGAATTGCTTTAAATTTAATAGTGAACAAGTAACAACTAAAGTCTAAAATGGTTCTTACCTTCAGAATCACCCTCGTAGTTTAAACTTCGCTTTGTTTTTCGTTGTCCGCTGCTTTCTTGTGCGCATGTAGACGGGGTGTCACAATGGAGCATTCTCCTACGTTTAACAGGCGATTGGGCTAAATGTAAAATCATTGACACTGTTGATTAAATGCCGCAAATTTATTATAGACTTCGAATCAGGCTATAGCTGAAAGTTTAAGGATGTTTCTCATAATTATTTTATTGTTTTCTTGTTTGTATATGCGCGCGACGCTAGTTAAAACTTGGAAGCGCATGCAAGGCCGACGGTCGACAAATTGTATTATTATATACCACTTGTCAAAGTTTGGTGTTCGTAGCATTTCATTGAATAATTTACTGCTATTTATTAATAATTTATTTATAGTGGTATGCTAAAAACACAAGTCACGAGTCTATCGAAAATTGGTTAGTTGCTAATCGATGTCGCATACTCCAAATTTCATATTTCAACTCGCCACAAAAGACTAAACGGCAAGTCTTATCATTGCGTCAAGTCTTATTGAAACCTAAGAGACGTAACTTGCCCTTTTTTGCGCCGCACTTTATTTATAATTTCAACTAAAATACAGTTATTATATCTATTATGAAATTTTAGGTATAGTTAAAATTAAAAATAAAATTTCAAATATTTTCTTACATTTAGAAGGGCTGTTGTCTGGTGATGGGCTAGCAGGCGATGAGTTTCCTTCGAGTGTTGAGTAGGATCGCAGAGACAGTGGAGAAGTCATAAAAATACGAGGAGTGTTGGCGACTAGCAGAAAATGGAGAACAAAATAAATTATTACAACGCTTGTCCAAATACAGGTGAATATATATTTCTAATCTCAATCTATTTAGACACGTAGAAATGTAACATATCATACCGTTTAGCGGACTTAGTGTGTTTTCGTTGTCACTGCTGCTAAATCCAATTCCAACAGGCGAAGAGTACAGGCTAGATAACTGTGAGTGAACAGGAGTCGTACAATCCCCAGGAGAGCTCGTCACTAAATATCATCATAAAAATTGTGTAGATATAGACTATAGTTCATGTACTATATTCAAGTATACAGATTGCTTATTTGTGATCTCTTACAACTTTGCGGACTCCTCGTGTTCTCATGGTCACTGCTGAATCCAATACCGATAGGCGAACTGCCTTCTATTTCTCTCTCTCGAAGAGTTTCAATAGTGGACGGCGACGCCGGTTCTGGCAAGGATGAAAATCCAAACCCGCAAGGCGACGACATAACTATACAATTATGCGTTTTGGTCTTTTACCGCATTCTTCAAAATATTTCTGACAAGTTTAGTTACGAAGTTAGGAAGCAGCCGGTTTTCACTAAGATCAGTTTACACCCTTCTAAGTTTTTAAATGTTTTCCGTTATTATGATTTTTGTCGCTAATTAGTATAAACGTTTTTGATTGGTTGAGTTTTGAACCTTTTAACAATGAAAAATTCCTCAGTTACCTACGGCTTTGTGTTCTCGAACGCTGATTCGTTGAGCCGCGAAGACGCTATCACCTTGTATGACGCTATCACCTTGTATGACGCTATCACCTTGTATGACGCTAGAAAACCTTGCCAAAATATACTCTATCTCCTCTGCCAAAGACACCAGCAGTTTTGTTCAGCAAGGTTTATTCAGCAGTCAACAAACAGTATTTTAAAAAATGCCTTCTTTCAAATGGTCAATTCGAGTAAATGAGGACAAAGCGTACGTGTTTGTCAACGGTATTCGGCATTCCAAAAATAGTGTAGAATATTTGCATGTTCTGCGCGCTGAAGTGGGAAAATTTAAGAATCGCGTGGCTGTAAAGGTATGATTTTTAATTTCTCACTGTGATTAATATAAAGATAATATTATATATTAAAGGGTATATAAAGGGTAAATATATTTGGTATTATATACTGTGGTATTGGTCTCTACCTGCTGAAATGAGATGCTGCGTGCACCAGCGACCTTTTGAGTCCTAGTTTTATATGTTTGTTGTAACGAATTAATAACCATATTGGCACTAGTTGTATAAAAATACAGTAAAGCGATTTTTAAAATACTCTTCCCCCACTCACTATAGTCCAGCGCCTAACTGCGCTTTCTGGGGTGTCATTGCCTTGAAAAAATCTGATACATTCAATATCTGATATAGTTTAACTACAAGTAAAATCTCCTACCGAGGTTCACTTAGCTTTCGTTTAGCGTTCACAAGTCATATACCAAAACGCACGCCGTAACATAATCGCATGAAATTTAAATTTCATTATGAAGTATACACCCATCAAAATTAATATGGCTAAAGCCAAGGTTTAGTAATAATGGACTGTTATAGTTTATAAAACTCCATATTGAGCAGTCTGACTGAAATATAAAGTTTTATAGTTTTACAATGTTTAGCAGATTTCTATCTTGAGGTTGCAAAGTATAAATGATAGAATTCTGACAGTCTATGATAATGCTCGTGCTAGCTTTTCTAAAACAAGGAATGGCGCCTCGGCCCTCAGAAACCACCTATTTTACGACGGGGCGATAATGATTCGAGTTTGAGACTATAAGTGCATGACTGGCATGCCTTTAATTGATCAGGGCGTATATAAGATAGGGCCATAGATTAAAAAATGAATTATGGCGGTGAAACGGTGATTTGGGCCGTGATCTACGTATGATGCGTGGGACCCCCCCGAACAAACACAACATGATAAACCATAGGCGGCCCTGAACTGATCTCGGTAATCTCGCTGACCTCGTGCGACCTCATGTTGTCTGAACAGTCTTATATTATGACAAGATACGTCATCGCGCGAGGTCAGCGAGATCAGTTCTGGGCCGCCTATGGATAAACAAATATCCATTTCTACATTTAAGCCTTAAAATAACACAAATAGCTTTCGGTTAGTTGGAATTTTACATGCGTAAATTCTACGTCGTGAAAGATTAGTGATTAAAGTTTTAGGAAAATGATTCAGTGTCAAACACAAAGTCAGCTTTTTTAAAATTAATTTAAAACCCTTGGTCCAAGGGTTGGAAACTTAGTCCTAGCATTTGTCCCTGTAAAATTTTTACACAAAAATATTGCTAGTGTGTTATAAACTAGGCACTACACAATGAATGAGCGCGTTATGGATGATAGTTTCACCTATTAGATGCTTCAAATAATGATGCCAGCTATCCGTACATATATTAATACTGTATTTTGATTGATTCTATGTAAAAATTATTATTTTATTCATATTTTATAGTTGATTTTCGTTCGAGGGGCAGATGGCAAAAGAGAACACTGTTTCTTCTCCACAGGGAAATATGACTGGTCAGCAAGCAATGGGCTTTTCCGTGAAATTGTTGCGACTGAAAATGAGCAACAATGGGCTGCAAAATGCAATGAAGCCATTGAAAAGTTAGAAAAGCAAGATTGCGCTAATGATGGTCAAGATCAACAAAATCAAGGTGGATCCAAGGATTCCGAGCCTGTTTTAATCACTAATGAAGATTAAGCTATAAATTTAAAAATGGGATCTTCATCTCTTGTGGAACAGCTGAGTACTCCCCTAACCAAGAAAAAGTGTCAAGATGAAGAGGCCAAAGAATTACAATACCAAACAAGAGCAAAAGAATGCGAAGTTGGTATGTAGAAATTAAATATATACATATGATATTTTTTGTTGAACCACTAAACCACAATGAATGTTAATTAATTTTTTACAGAAATTATCAAGTTTAAATTAAGGCTTAATTATCAAGTCATTTTCTTAATTAAAATCCCTGCTACACAATTACTTCTTTCAATATGACCAGCTTTTTTTGCCCAATGGTTTCCTTTTTACCATTCTAGCTTACTCAAGTTGTATAAGTGCACCTTCATTTGGCAGTAATATCATGCATGTCTTTTCATAACTTTGAATAGATGAGCAATTCTATGTTCCGGTTGGCAATATTGAACTACCTCCAGCAGACAGAATGATCAGGAAAGTGGATGAAATATTTTTGGCCCAATTAAAGGCAAATATGGAAAGTAACCCCAATGGCTCATATGAACCTCTTTACTTGTTGGTAAAAGGTCTGAACAGAAAGGAGAACTTTTCAAAATCAGATGTCAGCAGCTATCAGTATGAGGTACTTGGTGGTACGCATAACTTGTTGGCAACAAAGCAACTTTTAGAGAAGCACCCTGATAGTGAAGAGTATAAGGGAAGATATGCAAGAATATTTGTTGGGTTAACAAATTTTTAAGCTTTATGGCTGGCGTCAAGGCATAATAAGACTGGGTGTTTCCGTCATTAAATGACATTCAAAGATGAGGCAAGTTCTGTAGAAAGGCAATTCTAATATTGTTAAATATTAAGAGGGAGTGGTTGTTTGTTATAGTTTAACAGTCAGTCAACAAGTTACTTAAGGAACCCATTAGTGTCACAGTAGTAATGAGTACCCAACTTCTTAACTTTTTCAACTTTGCTTTGTCAAATACCAGAAATTTTTCTCAAGTACATACCAAAATTGTCAATGGTAAATTATTGGTTATAGTGGTCTGAGTTACTTACGATAATAATTAGTAGTAATCTGCCACAGGCAATTGCAGTAGAAACTAACAAATTATTAATTGCAGCAGCAATCATTTGGGTGATTTACCAGTCAGTGGGTTAAAAAAGCTGTGATCACAAACATTTTTTTATTCTGCTGTAGGTGGAAGTTGCTCACAGGCAGTTGGAGATCATTGGTAAAAAAATGAGAACAATGATTTAGTTCCTAGTCAGCAATGGAGAGACAGATGTTCCCACATATTAGGAAAGACAGTGAGTAAACTTTTTAGTTTATTCAATTTGTAATATATTGTGAACACCAGGTGATTTTGCTTGCCAGTGAAAGTCTTGCCACCAGTGAATGGGTTATCAAAAGAAAGCAGATGTAATTATAATCTGTACTAAACCTAAACCTGTTTAATGAAATAATTTTAAATTAACTTGCTGATCAATAAAGCACTTACACTGAGTAATTAATATTCTTGTTAAATGTTGTACTTTTTTTAGAAGAAAAATCTTTCTGATGTATTTCTTGTTGCTGCTCTCCCAGAAGATGGTTATCAGTCATTCCTTGAGATGTGCCGAAAATATGAAAAAGGTCTTCTGAAATACCAGCGAGCAATGGCAAAGGACCTACCAGAAAAGCCGAGGTTCAAGCCATCATACATCAAATGCTTATTTGGCCTCGACGTTTCAGATCGTGTTGCTCTGTTGGGTCAAGTAAAGATATTTCTTCCATTTTTAGGCGTAAGATACCCCTTAGCTTATTTTTTTGCCTCTGTGATCTGTTAAAAATTTTATTTACTAATTAACCACTTAGTTTATTAAAATATAATTGTGCCCTTTAAATTAAATCCAATCATCATTCTAAATCTGTTGTTTTTTTTAGGTTGCTGACCAAAGTAACAGTCTGGATGAACTGAAATTAGTGTGCAAGGAGTGCAAAGTACTGAAGCCTGTCCAAAAAGTGATTTCTTCATTTCTTGGATGTAAATGGGAATTGCTTAGTGCAAAATTGGGAGAGAAAGTCAGCGTTGACCAGTTAAGGAAATTTACAGTAAGTATACAGTATATGTATTATATCAGGCAGTTCGATATTTTGATCCAGGTTTGTAGAATGGAAAATATCCGCTCTTCTCTCTATGCTGAGGTTGAGTATTTGAACTGACTTCTAAATTAATAATTCAAACTACTAGAAACATTTCAAACTACTAGTAGCTTAAAAATAAACATTAAATCAGCCCTGCTACATGTTCCTTGGGAGATTTCAATTTTCAATTCTGCTACCTATTTGATGACCATTTTAGTCTGCAAACATTTTCCTGTGTTTCGCACATTCAGTAGAGCTGTGTTTCTATTTACTAGGGAAAAGATGAAACCAACCTTATTTTCAGACAAAACTTGGAATATCTGCAAAAGAGTCTGACCATCGAGGAATCAGACCAGCCACTAGTTGTATCACCCAATGTATTTCTGATGGACCAGGGAACAAGCGGCGTTGTCCACATGTGTGTTGACCCACTGGGACTGCAGCAAGGGGTCATACGGGCAAGAAAAAGGATTTTCATTAGCCTTATGTAAGCTTTCACCACATCAGGTACAGTATAGTGATATAACATTGACCTAATGCACCAATAGTACTGTATATGTACAACTGTGATAATTGTGAAAAAGGTGTATACTGAACAATACTTTCTTTTTCACAATGATTTTTTTATGAAAATGATGTGACAACATTTGCTGCAGGTTTGCTGGACCTAGTGGACCGTTTAAATTTTGGTGTGTGCCACATTTTCAACGTAGCAATAATGGGGGATATCCATCAATTAATGGAAATAAAAAAATGGATCGAGGAACACCGTGGAATCTGCGAACTTGGTTTCGCATGTGCTAAAGGAGTTAAACCATCAGGTATATATTAGCATATTAACGGGCAATGTATTCATGTTTAAAATAGTAAGATTTTAATGTTCACGTTTACGGCAAAGGATTAACCGTGTCTGTCGTAGAGAATTTATGCCTCAATTTTAATTCGCAAACTGCCGGAAGCTCTATCATCTAATAATTGGCCCCAAAATACTATCTTCAATAGTTTGTCGATTGCAGCTAGCCGCATGTCTGGTGTAATTGTCAATCGTAAGGTCCTTAATCACTTTGTTTAATCCACCTTTTGGGTTTCTGCTCATCATAGATTATTTTGTTAAAACAGCATCCTGGTATTTTCTAGAGGTTCTTGCGATGCAATGTTTTTATATTTTATTTTTGTAAAAAAATTTAGTTAAACTTGTCTGCGTTTGTTATTTCTGCCATTCAACTGTAAAATTAGAAGTTCAAATTCACGTACACTCGAAAATACGTCAAATTTACACGCATAAAAGCATACCTACTGTAAACTGTAACCGTATTTTGCAATGCATACAACAAAATTAACTTACGCATTGTTCCTGCATTTTACAGGTCCTAGCCTTGGTATGGTACGGGCTGTAGAGGGGTTTCTCCTCTACCATGCGGCGCCTGGGCAACGGCTGCTGCAAGATCATTTTAATTTCACTGCCTGCACTGAGAATTTTATTATTGTAAGTCAAGAGCACAAGGAGTTGGAGGTGTGGCATTCTGTAGTTGAAATGTTCAGTAGACCAGGCGATTGGATTCTTGACGTGAATACGCCACAAGGTATGCAATTATACCAGTACTGATGAAATACTAATAATTTTTTTATGCACTGTTCACATTGTTGCTGCCGACTAGTTACAATGAATTATCTGGAAACAACAGGTGCAATCGTGTTGTTAATCGTTGATACAAAAAAATAATTTAACTTAACCGCTTTTACTGTGAAGTTTCACTTTACACTGTTCTGATGGGTGGCGGATTCAAAGGACATAGTCAATCATCTAGTCAGTGGTGAAGGTCATTTCTGTTCGTAGTGGTTTATTCAACTATCTCAGCGCTTTGAACTTTATTTAGACAATTTCTTTTGTCTTATTTAAATGTTAATTAGGCTTTTTGTCAAGTTGACAAAAATTTCGAGAAACTTTCTTGTTAATGCAAAATTGAAACCTTTCAATATGGGAGCTAAAATGATAAGGTTGATTCGCTGTGTCCCACTATGCAACTTTACACTATCATTGGATCACTAGCTTTCTTCCTTCAGTTTATTCACCTATTCGCGCAGTATATTTTAAAGTAGTTTCCCGTAAAAAACATAATTAAATGTTATGCAGTATAACATTCCAACTAAATTGATCTATTTTTATGACTGTTTCAGTTGCTGGAGCTGCTGCAGCCATGAAGGAAGGCAGGAATGTTTTATGCTTAACACCAAATGAAGAAGAGGCAAGAAACGTATTGCGCAAAATTTTGTGATTTGAAAAACTAATTATATAATTCTATATACATGATTCTTTGCATTTGACTTTAGTATTTTGGTTGTGATGTGAAGGTCTGCAGGTAAACTAAATTTTGGCAGACTCAGTCAAGTCGCTTTAGGTTCTGGAATTCAGCTGCCCAATTTTTCACTGGTCGGTTTCGCTGCATGCATTGTCGGTTGATAAATAAGATTTTGACAGAATCAAGCCGTTTTAGGTGTCCGCTGTTGAAAACCCATAAAACGTTGATCGCGGACTAAAATTTGGCTCTAAAATCTCATCTCTGCTTAGATGTGTTTGATTTATGAATTATGCACATATGATTTAAACAAACAGTCAAACCAATATTTTTCTGAAATTGGGCTACACTCTCAAAAAGTGCTTTTTATTTCAGTACACGATCGGTGACAGTACAAACTGAAATTCAGCCTTTAATCTCGGTTAATTTAATTGTTTATATCAGATTTGTGACAAACTCACGCCGTTTATGGCGTCTGAAATTTAGCTTCTCAGTTTATCGCTTGTCGGTTAACATAAGATTTTGAATTTTTGGCAGGCTGAAACCATTTTAGGTGTCTCAAATTCAGATACCTTATTCATCTCAGGTCGGTTAAAATATACGATTTTGGCAGACTCAAACCGTTTAGGTGTCTGAAATTCAGATACCTTATTCATCTCAGGTCGGTTAAAATATACGATTTTGGCAGACTCAAACCGTTTAGGTGTCTGAAATTCAGATACCTTAATTTATCTCAGGTTGGTTAATATATAAGATTTTGGCAGACTCAAACCGTTTTAGGTGTCTGAAATTCAGATCCTTGTTTATCTCAGGTCGGTTAAAATATGCGATTTTAGCAGACTCAAACCGTTTTAGGTGTCTGAAATTCAGCTTCCAAATTTATCGCTTGTCGGTTAACATTAAAATATTTTGAATTTTGGCAGACTCAAACCCTTTTAGGTGTCTGAAATTCAAATACCTTGTTTATCTCAGGTCGGTTAAGATATGCGATTTTAGCAGACTCAAACCGTTTTAGGTGTCTGAAATTCAGCTTCCAAATTTATCGCTTGTCGGTTAACATTAAAATATTTTGAATTTTGGCAGACTCAACCGTTTTAGGTGTCTGAAATTCAGACACCCTATTTATCTCAGGTCGGTTAATATACACGATCTTGGCAGATTAGAGCCGTTTTAGATGTCTGAAATTCAGCTTCCCCATTTATCATTTGTCGGTAATATATAAGATGTTGGCAAACTCAGATTTGTTTTAGGTGTCTGAAATTCAGATACCTTATTTATCTCAGGTCGCAGTTGATAGAATGATGTCTCGTTTAGTTCAATACGTTGTTTTTGGCAGAGTCCCTAAAAACTGTCTGCAAAAAACGCCAATTTGATTTCATAAATTAAAATCTTTGCATTTTTTTTTTTTTTCATCAATTTTGCGGAAAAAAAAATAGTTTGGAATTATTGAAAATAGTTTGGAACGCGTTAGTTGATTAAATAGCCTTTCTCTCTTTACCTTTTTTGGTGAATTTTACCACGTCCACTAGCTTGACCCATGCATGGGAGCAACTCATGAAGTCTGTTATTTGTTTGTCCAGAAATGGGTCATTGCATTTCTCGATTGTTCCAGGTAGGTTTACGATAAAACTGCAATAAATAGTACCAATTTTACCATTTCTTCGCTTATGTATGTTTTACTATTGCCCCGCTAATTGTTCTTACCAATCGTGGTTTCAAATTCGTTCCTTAACAATTTCAGCATCCGTCGACAACAATTGTGAAAGGTGCTGGCATGGTTCTGAAGGCGATAATCGAGGTACGTTTTATTCATTCATTCATCCATTCAGAATTTTCTGCTTTTGACGAACGTCATTTATAATGCTCTGCCCTTTTTTAGCTGTGATGAATGTACATATTAGTTCATTTGATATTTAAGAGGTTTTAAAGGGTCTTAATTTTGAGAGGTATTATACACACTTCAATTCAAGCCAGGAACAGTTGATGGAAAAATGAGTCAACTATAGATCCTCCGGCAGGAATCGCTTTTGCGATGCCGGTGCAATGCTCTTATCACTGAGAACGTATATAGTTGACTCATTTTTCCATCAACTGTTCCTGGCTTGAATTTGAAGTGTGTATAATACCACTCGAAATTAAGACCCTTTAAAACCTCTATAATATTCCTGCATCGTGTGAAGTGCCTAAAATCATCTGTTGATATTTATTTAGAACTACACTTTAGGAAGCTGATGAAGAAACTGCGGCAAAAATACAAGATCTGGCGCTTGCCGAGGGCGCTCTACCAAAACGCTTACCCATGGCCATGATTACACAAAGCACTGATACACGTTCGCTACTGAACATGTGCGAATTAGAGTGATAAATTAACAAATTGTTGCAGATGCATGGCCTCGATTCCATCCGGAGGACCTGAATTATTTTTTAGCAACATTCTTAGATTCATCTTAAAACTTGTGATTTTATAATCCTCTATATACTAGCCATCTGTAAATAGTTCAATTGAGACTAACAAGCATACTCCCAAGTAATTTATAATCTTTATTGTTGGCATACAGGCAATTGAGTGGACATCTTGTGGCTCTCTGGACAACTGATCATATAACAGCAATGGCATTGCTTGTGAGAATAATTTTCGTATTAAAGTAGTTATAGTTTTTAATGTCTAAAATATACAAGAAAGTTTAAATGCGAGATTTCCTGTTCCTAAACAATTATGTAATAAATTTGAATGAGAATTTTTTTGCGAGGGCCATTATTTACATTAACCCATTGCAGTGATTCTGACTAACCAATCATAATAGTGACTAAATGGTATCAACTGCTTTGGTAACTAAACTCCATCATTCATCCTTAAACTATGCCAACTGCCCCACTGACGAAATAATTAAATGGTAATTCATTCAGAAGTGTAAAACCTTTTTGTAAAGAAACAATTTTGTTTGAAGTTTTTATCTTTCCTTCAACCACCAGAGACTAAAGAAGATCATTTATCAATTCGTGACAATGTAAAGCTTGCAGAAGTACGTTTTAAAGCAACAATCGTGTTCCAAAAGTTCATCATGCATGCTTGTATGTACGTATAAGCCTGTTATTTCAAGTGCTATACTTGTCTGTTATAGCTCTGGAAAAGCGAGAGGAACGTCAAGGAATCAACTTGAAGGATATCTCTCGCATAGGAGGACAAAAATAGGATTCAAATCCAAGAAAGATGTGAGAATTTAAATCCAGTTGTTTTATTACAAGTAAGTGTTCATATTAAGAAAATAGGAAAATGTTCTAGTCGTTTAAAAGATGAAAAAGCAATGGTATTTAAACCGATCTTTTTTACAGATTAAGTCAAGATCTGACAGCGTACAACCTGATTTTGGATTACAAGGTGAGTCTCGAAGTTAAGGTTAGTTTCCGTTGAAAATATAGGAAATGAAAATGTAATAGAGGATTTCCTGTTGCTATGAGTATAACAAGACAAATTCAATAGTCCTGACTTCTTTCTCTAAACTGTTCTCGTAAAAGAGTTTGAAACAATTTCTTTTGTTTTCAATGTGACAGACGCGAGAGGAACTTCTGGGGCTCTCGAATCTGAGATGCGCGCAATTGCAATGGAAAAAGATCTGAGTGGAAACTACGTTGTTTTTTGGAATCACCTTTAGTTTGAAGTCCTGTATGAATGTTTAGCTGATCAACTGAAAATAGGTTAGTAATAATCCTTATACTGCTCTAGCTTTTTAACAGTTCTTCTTAAAGCGTCTCCCCCCTATCCCTCGACAGCAATCAAACTCAGTAACGTATCTCTTTTATCAGGCGACTATTATTTGAGAGTCTTGTTGGAACAAAACGACCGGGAGACGCCGATAACAAATGTGTGAGTCCACGACATTTATCTATCAGGATTTAAAAATATTCAAACTACTGTCTTGCTTCCCGCTGCATAAAAAAGATTCCAGATACCTAATATATAATATACCTCAGCGTCGTATTCTCTATATTGCTGCACAGTTCACACAATGTTATTTTTCCTGCAGTATGTAGTAGAAGTATAGAATCATGGATGAAACAATTCACGAATCGATCGACTTTTCTATTTTGTTTTCAGGCTCGAGTTGTTTAATAACGATCTGTACCACAGATTCCTGTTGACAACTAAACCAACTATAAAAGCAATGTGCCTTCAGGTGAGGATGTCGTGTAGTGAGAGCCTAGCCATGTGTAAACTTCGAAGAATGAATGAAACAAGCTGGAATATTTTATTCACATGCGATGACTAAAGTTTATGGAAAATGTCAGGAAGAGATTGGCGCTTTTAATGATACCAAGCTAAGGATCATCTGTTATTGATCCAGTGTTACTACAGGAGCCTGAACTAAACTAACTTTATTCATACTGTTTCGTATTTTTAGCACTTACATGAAAATGGCATCACCCACAGGGATTGGAAGGTAAGCGCGATGGATGGAGGTGTAGTCAATGATAAGAGAAAGGTAATAATTGTTAGCGACTCCTGGGTTGCAATAATTTATTTGATCTAAAATTGAGAAACAAGGAACATGTGAATTAATACATTATTGTCCATAGTTGTGAGGCTATCAGCATTGTGATATCCCAGGTTCGTGCGTACCGCTACCGTGGGACAACATTTCTTAGCGAACAAATAGTACTTCAGTGAATTGCTAGAACATACCTGAAGAACCGCCATAAACTTCAATTCTCAAAGATATGTTGCAATACCAATTCGGCTCTATATGCAATAGAATCTACAATTGAGATTACAAGAACATCACTTTCACACAATTGAAACTATATGTAATTGTGTATGAATCACAAGGCCCTATACTGTATAGTAACAGCGTGTATTTTGTGACTTCAATAAAAAAAAGCATATACAGAACAAAATGCAAGCTGTTTTCTTTCATATTCACATAATACCCCCAACCCCTGTATATTGGTAAGTGGCAATTACATAATAGGAAAGGGAGAAAAATAAATCTATTTTTAATAACACCAGTGTAAAATGAATGACATATGGAACTGTACAGCAAAATATTGTGTAGGCATAATTCTTGTCATGCCTTCCATCACCAGATATCATGAAATTATCTTGGTTTTTTAATGTTTAAATTAATCCGTTTAATTTAAAAAGCACAAAAATACCACCAAAATAGCTGAAGAAAAATACTTTAACCCAATCGCTTCTGTTTTAATCCAGAAATTAATCAATATTCCTGTTAACCTGACACTGCAGTGCAGCTCTAAAAATCATATCAAATTACACGGGATTACAAACAGAAATATAACTCGCCTTTGGAATTTCGTTATTTTCTTCGTTATTTTTATCCTGTCATCTTTTAACCGTTACATGTAAACTGTAAAGGCTTTAGTTATCTTCTCTGATAGTTTTTAAGTCAGGATAGGCAGAAAAACTCGAAAAATAAAGCTTTTTTTATTTGTTATTTTGTATAGCGAGGCGTTGCTCAGCTGCATGCACATGTGGTTGTCACGTGAGGTTGGAGGTGTCAAAAATGTTAGGTTGCCTACCCCGTGGGGGTAAAATAAGCCCGGTAATCGATTTCCGGGGTAAAATTGTCCCTAGAAGTCATAATTGTCAAATTTTCGTTAATATGGTGATATGGAATTTTATATGCACATTTTCCAGTTTCCATTTGTAAACACGTTTGTTGGAAATATCACTACAAATCGCCAAAGCGACTGTATTTCAAGTAAAAGATGAAAATATTGATCCCAATGTATACTACAAATATTTGGAGGTTTTTAGGCGAGATTTTTGGAAGGCTTTGCGTATTTTCGCTTCTCTAAAATTCAATTTAAAAAGTACAAGTTCGGCAATAAATATCTTGGCTTATAGGAAAGCTTTTGAAATGAACTGAATTTATACAAATAGGTAAATGTTTTTTCTTTGAGATAACACACTTTCTAATTGATTTGATAAAATACTTCCAGATAAAATCAAATTATCTGTGTGCGCCATTTACGAGCAGACAGCAATGAGTTTAGTGATCTCATATTTATTAAAATGGGTGAAGTATTCGCACAGTAATCACAAGTTTAAATCAGCTTACCACTTTGAAATATCCTCTCATCGGACGTCTAACTGAGAGGATCCCTTAAACATCGAGAATACTTCATTAACAAGTGCCGCATCCTGTCCTGTTTGAGAAGTAACGAGAACTTCATCTTGGGTATTGGTTACTCCTTACTCTGTTGGAAGTTCCATTCTGTTGTATGAGGACAACACTTGTAGTTGGTGTGGTGAAAGGATGCAGATTGTCCGTTGGATGTTGTTCTTTTGTATTAGAGACGGACCACATTAGATATCAGCGCAAAATTGACACATTCATGGGACTCGAACCCAATCTCCTAAAAAGGAGTACCTGAAATGTGTTCTTTGTGTGGCCAGGAAAAAGCGAGAGCTACAGGGCAACTCGCAAACCGACTGGCAGACAATACGAACGTACAACACAAAACACACAACCGACGACACAACATCCAACAACCCACAACCCACTAACTCTGTAGCTGAAACGACAAAAAATATGGTGAGTTGTTCCTAAAAAAGTAAGCATTCAAAATTAGCATGAAGGCAATTGTGGCTAGGGGTTTAACTGAGGGTATGGATATGGGGTGGCTTCTTAGGGTTGGATACTGAAACTAAACTACGATCGTCTTTGTCTGAAAAACACAAAAAAAAATTATTAGTAGCTCCCTAGAAAACGAAGAGCAAAACACAGTTAGACAAGCAGTGAGCCGTGTTTCCAGATACGGGGACAGAGATTCTTAGCTAACAGAGTGGCCACGGGGATCTACTTCTATTAAAAAAATAATTACACATACCTTGATCCTACCTAAAGAAAGAACTAACTTACCTGAAGAAAACGGTCGCAGACGGCTCTGTTTTATAGCGTGTAGGCTCTTGCATAATTCAGCAATTTAAGACAACTTGATTGGTTATTTCTGTGCACAGGTCAATTTGTCATTGGTCAATTTTTGTACTCCACGATTGGTTCAATAAAAACCAATCAGATTGGTTAATCTATATTCAAATTTTGATCCCGTTTCTTTGATATTTGCAAGGTGATTGCACAACAAATGTTCGATTTCACACGTTTTGGAGCATATTCCAAGCCAATATATCACAGTATGTGTGTATTTGTTCGATTATTTCTCTCATGAAGTTCACAAAAAATTACAGTTCAATTAAATAGCTTTTTTTCCCCACAAGCTTTAGAACCCCATCGAGCAGGAAAGTCGGAATTTAAAAGGCAAGTAAATCTTTCAAACTGTTGTAGCATTTAAATTATGTGGTACATTTAACTACTGAACCTTTCAGAATATTGTCGAATTGGGCATGGCATGGAATAATAGTGAATTTAACATACTGACAAAATCTCAAATGCAGTAAATTTCAAGGCTAAATATTGCAAATTCCACTGGAAATATGGCGTTTTACCGCCATGCATACATAGCTATTCACAGGTATGATATTCACGCGTTTTATATATTCAATATTACACATCAAAGCGGCCTAATCCTTAGGATATTGCCCAAAATGCAAACAAAAACCGGTTGCAGTGGTTTAGTTCAAATATTCAGTACTATTTTAATATTTAGCGTCAAAATCGATTTACTATTTATATAATACTATTTCTTCGATTTCTTTGCACATCCAAGCCCAAGAATTACTCAGAATTACAACAGATTGATAACGTGTAAAATTGGGACATTTTGAAGACAACAGAGTACCAAAAAAGCGAAAAGATATGGAATTTCTAAAATATATCTTGCTATGAGTGAGTAATTTGAGATAACAAAGCAACCTATTATTTTGATTATTGTTTTTACTTATAATACAAATGCAGGTTATAGCTATATGCTGGTTGGAATATACTATTCAAATAATCGTTTCAACCGCTATAATTTAGTGGTATTCCCGGGTCTTTAGCCTAAATATTTCTGAGATATTTAATGTCTTGCTTCTGTGCAACATTATTGTCAGGAGTAATAGCCTATTTTGCTGTACAGTTCCATTTATCATTCATTTTACACTGGTGTTATATAAAATATAATTTTTTTATTCTCCCTTTCCTATTATGTAATTGCAGAACGAATATTCAATATATTAGTGTACCACATAAAAACTCATTATGACAATCGCTATCGGACGTCTATTGCATCGGAGATACGACTTGTGGTAAGCCAAATTCAATGTTTTTTCTCGCGATTTTTTTATGATGTCTTACATTGTTGTTTTTTAAAGATTCTTCAATGTTTCCTCAGTCTGCGAGCTGAGAACATCTAGGCTGTGCGAGACAAAATTGGAAAAGTTAAATTCACTTCGTATGTTATTTGTTCTGAAAGGAAAAGGTTGGTTAATGATGATAGTGCAACGCATGTCAGGTATTCTGCTTCCAAAATTCCTTCTCTTCTTAGTGTAATACATCCTCATTTTTGTTTTAGTTCTGCAGAAGATAAGACAACCGGGATTGTCTCACTTCCTTACAACGAGGCAATGAATGTTATTCTTGTGTGCTTACAACAGGTAAACTTTTCAATCATAATATATCATCTGGCATAAAGTTTCGAATAAAGTTCAACTTTTTTTATTTTCTAGAAATTGGAATTGGAGGTGTTGTATGTTGTTCTGAGAAACTTTCCAGAGGCACTGCAAGATAAAAACTTGATACATTCTTGAAAGCACTACTTGCGTTAAATATGTACAGTGTTATCTAAAATGGTAAGGGAAGTTAAGTTGTGCACATTCACACCAAAATCATGAACTAAAAATTTTACTTTGCATTCAGGTTTGAAATTATGATTTTCTTCCTGGATTATTTCGTGTTCCTCATGACATGCGCCGACCTCATTTGTACGCTAGAATTTTTTCAGTACGGTTCTTCTCATTCAGTTTTTTGCATCTATCATAATATCTTACCATAACTATACTAAAACCATACCATACCATAACATATCATATAATCATATCATATAATCATATCATATCATAACTAACCATAACCAAATCATACCATACGATAACCATATAATTCCAAAATTATATCACACCATACCATACCAAGACAAATCATACCATACGATAACCATATCATACAATAATTATATCACACCATACCATACCATAACCAATTTATACCATAATTATATCATACCATACTAATGATTTAATTGGATATTTTATTGTAACATGTGAAGGTATTAACATAGCTGTGTACGTACCACATTTTTATTGGTCAAGATGAACAGGTAAGAACCTCCTTGACTTTATTTTCAGCGGTTGTCTGTTCTCGCTAAAACGTTGTTGTATATTTCGTCTAGTTTCGTCTGACGCGTACTTTGGAGATTGGTTTGGTTGCTCATTCCACGACCTTATGCGTATTCTGTCTCACCATATGTATGTTAGAAATGCTTTGCCAGATATGACAAGGTATGGCTACTTAAGATAGTCTGGAATTTGAGACTTTTTTATGTCCATTAGCACTTTGTAAAGAATGAAGTTGGTTTAAGTAATTGCAATGTTTTAGAAGTTTATTGCTTTGGAGATATTTGAAATCGTGCCTTGATAATGCACTCAGTGAATTTACAGAAATGTTTTTCAACAAAATCCAGCCTAAATGTAACGTCTCTTGTTATGCGAGATACTCCTTCACAAATACAAGATTTTTTGAGCAATAACTTCTAGATTTTCGTTCCTTAGACTGCTCCCAACATATCTGGAAAAGTTTACCAAAATTTCGCCAACGCCTCAAGTTGTCATACAACTGTTAGAATTTCTCTCTGGTATGTTTCTTGAAGTTACGTAAATTAGGAAATCTTTTGCGAAATATCAATGTACCCCCTAAAGAGAGCTAGCTTGTATAAACACCCAATCGTATTCGGCGAAAAGTTGTTGATGAGTTGAAAATGTTTCACCTTAGATACTCTCAATACACGGTAACTCTTGCTGATAATGTCATTTCATCCTGGTTTGTCAATTGTCCACTGTTGTTAAGAAAGCAATTCGTGCCATTTATTAAAAAAGTAAGTCCACATCTCATTCTATTGCCACGGAGATTGCTTGCTAAATTTTCAATAGATATTAAGAAAGGGTCTTTAAACTTTATACAGCTTAGTCAGTGTTGTTACATAAACTTGTCCATTTCATGTTACATAATTTTGCTAATATGGAAGCTCGTTTTTAATCATTTGAAAACTCTGTTAAAATATATGTCCTTGTATTCCTTTAGAGTCTTAACAACACAGATATATGTTCAGATGCTGCAAACCCATACCCTAAAGTCACTCATCCCTCCACCAAATTCCAGTCACCCCCAAACTCCCTTGAGAAATCAAAGGAAGACTACAGCAACACACTTAGTTCAGAGATGATGGAAATCGTGGTTGATATGATGGTCAAATATACATTTTCTTCTTATTTGACCCAACCAAAAACGTCTGTATATTGGCTTCGTATT